GACCCGATATTGGACCACACCGTACGTGTCTCTCAAGCTGCCCTTGGTCTAGCCCCAGAAAACTCCGATGTTCGACATGGAACATGACCGCTCAGACGCGTCTGATACGAGTGCAAAATCATTATCGCCCGACTCTGGGTCGGGCTCATCGTGCGATGATGCTCCGAACCGTGCAAAATATGGACTGGAAGAAGCTCCATTGAACGGACGCATGGTGGCTTTCTACGAGAATGAGAACAACCGCAACCACGATAATAATACAACGCCCGCCGACCTCATACCCCACGATGCGGTTCTCGAAACCGACCACATCTCTGGGAATGCGACGGAGTCTGCAAGACCAGAGGGATTGGATATACAAGGACCCGTGCAGATAGGAAGCGACCACAACTCCGCGAGCGACGATATCCCTAGAGAAGCAGATGTCGACGATCCCAGCTGTGAGTCCCGGTCAAGGGACTCAAGCTCGGCCACAAACCACAATCTCATCAATAATCCCCCCAATCTTGCAAGGATACGCCAAGTGATGTTCGAGTGCAAGGATCCCATAGAGATTAGCTTGGAGGAATTTGAGACTTATTGGCCGTTTATCGACAATGTATGGGTCAAACAGAGATCTAATTCCAGCAAAGAAGGGCATTGCACCACGGACTATTATATGTGTCGTTTGCGACGCCCCACTCATCGTACGTCAGAAACTCGTCCTCTTCCTGAGGGCAAACGCCCCCGTAAGAAGAGAGTGCGGGAGGGTGGTATCTGCAACTTCCAGATCAAAGTTGTCAAGTTCGAAGGAGCATATTCGACGGTGACAATAGCGAGAACTCCAGGGAGCAGTCGGGTACATTCACATGACCTTGATTATATTGACCGAGTGAAGCGAAATTCTGGATTAATGGAATTTGCGCGGAGGGAAGCAATCAAGGGGTATCTACCTTCCTCAATTTTCACGAAGTTCCAAGAAGAACCTGAAAAGCTTGTTGAAGCTGGGGGCAAATTCTGTACAGTGACGGACGTGCGCAATGTCTCGGCGAAGTGGAGGATACAGAACCCCGACGTTAAACTTGTGGCGCATGAAGGCTATGAATATCATAAGGGTCACGGCATTGTAAGGATGCGAGCGGCTGATGGTATCAGCAATACTCCGGGCGACAAGTTACTCTCGAATACAGCCATACACGCATCTTTGCCCCCGGATACGCTCTCCTTCCCTCGGTTCCCTCTAGATTTTCTTGAGCCTTATCTCCCAAAGCACAATGATCGCCGCCAGTTCCCTCATGTCACCCTGTCCTATGCATCGTCGATGGACTCTAAGATATCACTCCTGCCAGGCATGCAAACTGTGCTGTCCGGGCCAGAGGCTAAGTTGATGACCCACTATCTCAGGTCACGTCATGACGCAATCCTCATCGGAGTTGGAACAGTGCTTGCAGACAACCCCGGGCTCAACTGTAGGCTGGAAGGCGCAGGTGGGTTCGGTGGCCTTGGAAGGATGTGGCAACCGCGGCCAGTGATAGTCGATCCCACCGGACGATGGCCTGTACATCCAGACTGCCGAATGCTGAGGACTGCAGTAGAAGGGAAAGGCAAGGCGCCGTGGGTAGTGGTATCCCCAGGAGCCAGGATTGACCCACAAAAGTTGATGATGCTGAAGGGCTACGGGGGCGATTATCTCCGTATCATGGAGTACAATCAGAACTGGCGGCTGCGCTGGGAAGCCATACTACGTGCGTTGGCATCTGAGGGGATCAAAAGCGTCATGATCGAAGGCGGCGGGACCGTTTTGAGTGAGCTTTTGAACCCCGAATACACCGAATTTATTGATACTATCATTGTTACTGTCGCTCCAACCTATCTTGGCTCCGGTGGAGTAAGTGTGAGCCCAGATTCCAAGCGGGATCAAGAAGGCAAGCCAAACGCTGCTCTGAATCCTAGGGACGTGAAATGGATGCCCTTGGGTCAGAATGTTATTATGTGTGGAAGAATTCGGGTTGCGCCCCCTACTGAGTCCCCTACTACTACTACAAATGCCGAGTCGTAAAACACACCATTGTTGCTGAGAACAAAAAATGTATCCCCCAAAACCAAAGGTGGCTGTCAGCGAAGTCACGATGGATGTTTTACAGGAACAGTTGGGAGGACCGTCTACTGCTACATATGGCAGCTTGGCAAGAGATAGCAGTCCCTACTACTAGTAGTCAAGAATGCCTGAGCAATGGAGGAAGTTGAGTCCTCGGAATTAACCAACTTCATGCAGGCATAGTTTCCAGGCCGGTACTATAGCTTATTTTGATAAGCTAGTATATTCAATAAAGGTTAGGGGAGAAGGGGGGAGAACAAAGAAAGAAAAACAAAGAACCGTCCCTGGGATGTGAATGACCAAGAAAACTCTTCTAGCCAAATATATAAATACTGCTAGGCATCTTTTTTCTGAGTGTGTGTTCAAAGAACGGTGTTCTTTGTTTGTCGGGTGCCATTGTTCTTTAGTGTTGCTCTGAAATCAGATCGCTAAAACACAACAACAATAACAACAATAACACCAGAGCTCTTATCGCGTGGGCGCATTCCCCACCCTTTCTTGTACCTTTTTCTTTTCAAATCGTCCAGCGCCTCTTCGGTGGCTTTTCTCTTCCCCACCTCCCTCCATCTTCTTTCGTTTTCAACAGCTCATTACCTGGGTCACTGGTGAGCCTTTTACTTTTTCCAACTCCCTAAGCCCCTGATACGCTTCCGGTGTATCACTGCAACGGCCAATCAGCCAAGACATAGTTGTTAATCTGACAGCGACTATGCCGCCCAAGAAAAGCGCACCCAAGCCGGCTGCGGCATCAGCTGCGGCGGCAAAGGTTAAACAGACCACAGCAACCACAACTACTACGACGAAGGCAGCTACGAAGGCATCCACCAAAACAACGACGAAAGCGAAGAAGACAGCCGCCACGACCAGTACTGCTCGCAAAGCTCCAACTGACAAGCGAGAGGCCCCTGCGAAGCCCAAGAAGACCACCAAAAGACAAACCGCGAAATCTGCCACGGCTCCCAAGAAGGGTGGTGGAACGGATGACAACCTTGCAAGCAAGAAGCGTGAAGTTGAGCCTGCGAAACGTGCGAAGCGGAAGGCGGAAGTTGTCGATGAAGCTCCAGCTCGCGATGTGAAAAAGGCCCGCGTTGCTAAACCCCGGGTTACTAAACCGAAGCCGAAGGTGATCATCAACCATGCGCCAACCACTCGACTAAATGTCTATGTGTGCGGCGAAGGCAGCTCTGGCGAGTTGGGCCTGGGATCTGCTAAGAATGCAGTTGACGTGAAGCGGCCTCGGTTGAATGCCAACTTGCCAGCGGACCGTGTCGGTGTCGTGCAGGTCGCTGTTGGTGGGATGCATTGCGTTGCACTTACGTATGACAACAAGATCCTTACATGGGGCGTCAACGACCAAGGAGCACTTGGCAGAGATACTACTTGGGACGGTGGGTACAAAGATATCGACAAAGCCGACAATGAGTCAGACTCGGACTCCGATGATGACATTGCTTTAAATCCCCACGAATCAACTCCCACTGCTATTCCGTCAGAGGTTTTCCCAAAAGACACCGTCTTCGTTGAAGTTGCTGCTGGCGACAGCTCAAGTTTTGCCCTTACGGATGATGGTCAAGTCTATGGTTGGGGAACATTCAGAGTAAGTCAAGCTTTGCATACCCTCGTATAAAGAACTGCTTAGGCTAAGAGGCGAATTAGAGCAATGATGGTATCTTAGGTTTTGATGCCACCAATAAAGTCCAGCTTACGCCTAGTCTGATACCGTCTTTAAAGAAAATCAAACACCTGGCTTGTGGCGATAATCATGTCCTGGCACTGAACGAAAAAGGTGCTGTATTTTCATGGGGTTCGGGCCAGCAAAACCAACTAGGCCGTCGTATCATTGAGCGAAACAGATTGAACGGCCTGCAGCCGCGCGAGTTTGGCCTGCCGAAGAATATTGTGCATATCGGCTGTGGGGCTTTTCACTCCTTCGCTGTTCATCAGTCCGGAGAGGTCTACGCATGGGGTTTGAACAGTTTCGGCGAAACGGGTATCAGGGCTGGTGCCGGTGACGATGAAGCTGCAATTGTGCATCCCACCGCAGTAGAGTCGCTATCTGGGAAAGCAGTTACACAGATCTGCGGCGGCGCCCATCACTCGCTTGCCATCGCTGATAATGGAGAATGCCTTGTATGGGGACGATTGGATGGCTACCAAACAGGTCTGAAAATCGACAGTCTACCTGAGGATGCGGTCATTAAGGACGAGCGGGGACGGCCTCGTATCTTGATAGAGCCTAAAGCTGTTCCTGGAGTCAAGGCAAATACTGTTGCAGCCGGTTCAGACCATTCACTCGTCATTGATGTTGATGGTCGTCCTTGGTCGTGGGGATTCTCTGCCACCTATCAAACAGGTCAGGGTACACCGGATGACATTGAAATAGCGACTGTCATCGAGAATACTGCCGTTCGTGGGAAAAAGTTAAACTGGGCCGGCGGTGGTGGACAATTCTCCGTGTTCACTGAGCCGGCAGCATTAGCATGAACGAAAAGCTAGTGCCAGGGAAAAATTGGAGATACACTGGCACTTCATCAATGAGTCCCGCGCAATGGCATGTTTCATGAGCCTTACCAATCTTGTAGATTATGCTTAGACCAGTTGATAAACCATTGCAGACACGAAAGGGGAAGGAAAGGAGAAGAGAATCAGAAGAAAGCACATTATGGTGGTATCTGCTGAAGCACAGCACTTTCGATAATGTTTATACCTTATATTTTACGGTGACTCTCAAGGTAGAGGGAAAGAGCAAGGGTTTTTTTTTTCGAAAAAGGAAAAAAAGGGGCCGGCTAGACCGTGTCTGCGCCATGTTGAAATAGAATTAATTAGTTCACTGTACGAAACATGTCTTGGTGCCCTAAGTGGTAGTATTGCTCGAAACATCAATGTTGTCTATGGAACCCAGGTTACCCATAGGCTTATTGCCTCAAGCCCATGCATCTGGTCCTGCCAGATTATTATTATCAATAATACCATCCTCGTGCTCTCGTAGAAGTGCTTCCAGCTCATCATCATCATCATCATCATCGTTATCATGAGTACCTTCTATGATCTCCCTTGGGACGCTCTCATCATCCGACACAAACAAATCTCCCTGCTGAGGAACGTCTCCCAGCGTAAGTGAGGATGGCTCTCCAATGCCATGTGCTGGAAGCCCCTGTGCCACGCTATCTCCTTGGCCCACAATCGCGTCGGCTTCATTTAGATGCCCGATAGACATACTATTGTCATGGACATATGGACCCGGGGACCCCGTTTGTTGCGCATCTTCAGAGTCGGTTGCGGGGAGTCTCGGCTTTTCCTCGTCTATCCATTCTCGTCGCATCGTCTGTAATCGTTTCGAATGACCCAGTTTTTCTATAATAGCCAATCCATCGGCGAACTTCGCGCGAGGGAACAAATCATCGAGCCATAGTTGGTAGAAATTTAATAGTCGAGCGGCGTCCGAAAACTTTGAGAGACAGTTAGCTACGCAGTCGTCCCTCAGCGACAGTACGAATCGGTTTCAGCAGACCTCATGCCCTTTCCCTTTGAATTTCAGTTTAGACTTCGCCGTAGAACGCAGTTTTGGTATGCCGGCTTGTGACAGTAATCTAATGAGCAATAAGCATTGTATTCAGAGCGCTCCCCCTGTTGTCAGTCTCACCGGCCCTCATCCAGCTTGACAGTAGATCGTCGCTGCTTAGTGATTGTGACCTTTTCATCCAAGCCTAATACAGGTGCAGCAATGGGTCCACCTCTGTTTGAATCCACAGCTATATCTTGCAATGTGCTCTCTAAGCCGGCATCATAATCGAACAATGCATCATCATGGCCCATTGATGGGTTTGAGTAGCCCACATCTTTCTCCATCATCCAACGAACCTCCTGATGACTTGTAAAATAGTGAAAGTGACAATTTTCTCATAAAATCTGGTTATTGTTGACTGAACAAGTAGTACGCATACTTCGATGAAAGTCCGCAAATGACCATCTCGAACAGCTGTAAACGGATAGCGTTACGCGTCGCTCAAGACGCGTGCCAGGTTCTCAGCCAATTTGCCAGGAAAGGTAAGATCAGTACTACTAGTATCATATCACCAAAGTAGGGTAGGCGGTCGGGTTAGCGTGACAACGGGTTACAAAACCTTTTCAGCATAACTGCAACTATGCATTACTTAGGCTTTGTAATTATGAATAGCTGCTAGTCTTCAATCGGTATGGCTTTGGGCTTGGCATAACTCACGTCCGACTTCCATCTCCATTGAAGCGGAAGCCAATCCAGAAACGTCCATTATAATTCATCCTCCACTGTCCCAGCCCGGTCACAATGGCGACTGATCACAAATCAATTCTTGTTCCCCCAAAGCGGGCCAATACAGACTACCCGGTAGGGTTGATTATTCTCTATCTGAAATGGAGTTACGGATCTTGCGGCTAACTTTGGCTTTTGTAGCTAATTGACTCCGACCCGTATGGACCAGCTTGACGTTGCCATATTGCAATTGACTCACTTTTTAAACCAGGCACTTGAGACGAGTTTTCGGATATGCAAGACCCTCTGACTACGCAGTGGGCGGCGGAATGGCCGCTGCGTCTCCTCTTGCGTTCTGGGTTATGGAAAGAGTGAGCCCTTCTCACGTCGGCAGGGGAGGGTTCGCTCCTGTGATGCGCCTAGCAACAGCCATTGGCCTTATTGGAGGTCTCCACGTGGTCTATCAGAGATCCTGCAGTCAGTGCAACCATGGAGCAGTTGTTTTGATCTACGCCCTTGTAGTACTAACGTTCTTGTGCAGACCGCTTCTATGGCTTCACGGAGAATTCGAGGGAAGCTGATATGGATATGAAGGAGATGGTGGACAAAGTCAAGAAAGGGGAATCCCTATATGGCACATCTAAAGTCTCTTCATACCTGCAAGGCGTTGCTGCTCGAAACTCTAGATACTCTGAGCTATTCATCCATGTTCTTCCATGGTTCAACCTTGTCAACCATGACCAGGTAAGTACAATGGAAGAGCCATCACCTTTCATACACAACCATCAGCGTCGGGTATATATCATGTTACTAACTGCAATACAAGCATGGCGTCGACACGGCCAAGTACTATCAGCAGGCCGAGCGGGAGCTGGAAGCCGAGCGGTTGAAGCAAGCTAGCTCCTAAACTTGTGACATGAAAGACGGTATAAGGATCGGCTCGTTAACGTTTCATTGGCTCTTGCGCGATATTGTATATTTAGTTCCTGAAACAACGCAAAACCTAAATGGAACCTTTTCCTCACTTCACCTTGATCGCTTCTACACGACATCGAAGATGCTTAGCCCTCAGCTTCCTTCATTGTGCGGCCGTTCGACTAAGTACAACCCGTTCCCGCTCAGGGTGTAGGGGAGGCGATGAGGACTTCCTGGTCAAAATCCGTTTTCAATTCACGGTGCTTTTTAGGGCGGGGCTTGGGCGCTGCTCGAAAGAGTCTGTTAGAAGGCTTCCTTGTCACAGTTTGTCAGAAGCTAGCCACCTACCCTTCTCATTTTCTTGTATGTAGAAGCGCCGAAGCAGCATGATAGCTTCCTTATGGAACAACCCGCCTTGCACCGGGTATGGTGGATCTATCGAGCGACTAGCATGAATTAGTTCTAGGTTCTAGGTGTGTAGGTCCGCGGGAAGGCAAGAACGGACTCGGCATGTAGTGATAGAATGCTACCGGTTCCCCCGAACCTGTCATTTCCACAGCCGAAGTATACTTTTCGTATCTGATATTGTCTCAAAGCAGATGCACACATGACACACGGTTCAACAGTTACATAGAGGTCTGTTGAACGCAGTGCTGACCTAGGATAAGTTTGGAGCATTTCTCCAATGGCAATGAACTCGGCATGTCTTGTACCCTGATAAGACCGGCTATGGTTTTAGATTTCACAAACGCTTTCTAATTTTGCTTTGAGGGGGACTCTCCCAAGGGACAAGGGAAATTGGAAGATTCATTGAAACTTCCGAGTTCTCCATTGGGATTGATGGTTCAGGCAGCTGGCTCACCTACATTCATAGATTTGTTTGTATCATTCATTCCAGAACCAACAATCTTGTTGTCATACACCAGAACACAGCCAACCGGGGTTTCACCGGTTGCAAGTGCTTTTTCTCCCTAGAACGAGTATAAGAATACCAATCTCCAGTGTCACTAGGGCAAGATACAATTACCATCATTAACGCCTGCTTCATGAAATAAGCATGTTCGGCGTTGTTCTCCAGCAACTCAGGCGGCATGTCACCAGACATCTCCATATTTCATCCGCTAGACTGAGGAGGGCTTTGTGAAATTGTTGCTGGGAGGTGGGTTAGCTGAGTGGTAGTAGTCGGCACTGATGACACCAGGAATAGGCTGGATAACAAGTATAAGAGCCACCCGAGGGGGTCACTCTGCATGTACAAAGTCACTGAATTTGAGCACAAGTTTTACTAAGTTTCTAGACCTTATCTTTCCTTTTGTACCCCACCTGTTTCTACACAGGAAGCGGAAGAGAAACTTTCCTTGTAGAGCTCTGTGAGCCCGTAGATACCAGGATTTTGCCTTGAAAACCCATTTGATTACCCACCGCCCGGAAGTCCGCTTATAGTAGTAGTAATGATACCACCGCTTCCAAGTACTCCGCATACGATTACTATTCTGCAACCGTGCACATAACAAGTCGATATTTGATGGTATTCACTTTGATAGCAATTGATAAGCGGGTTTCATGCTTTATACCCACATTAACTCGTGCATTAAAGAATCTCAACACCTCACTGGATGGATGGACTGTGGGGAAACCATACATGTTACTTACACCGTACTACCGCGTCACTGAAACATACATGAGTATTACTATCCGTAGATCTTAAGCCGGTCTGATTACCACTCTTCGCGCTCAACGAGGCCTGGGAGAAATCAGGACCATGTATAAAGGCATCGCCAATGGCAACTAATAAGCGCAAGGAGTCTCGTTTACCTATTCCTGGGGTTGCAGATTGGAATCCTGCAGAGCCAGTTTCCTCTACGCTCGCAGCCAACCTTGCACCACACCTTTCATCACAGGGTGATGGGACGCTTGGTCTAACTAAAGAGGCATTTTCGCAGCTCCGGCATGAGTTGCTTGAGGGGAAATATAGTCATCTTCAGCTTAATGATAGTATCACTGATGTTAAGAAACTGATTTGCATCGTGCTGAAAGCAGGTCTAGAGCCCTGTATCAGAGATGATAGGTCGGAATTGCAAGGTCAACTCCTGGACTGCTTGGACATCGTCCAAAATGCTGTTGACAAAGCCCCATTAGCGCTTTTGGAGATGCCAGAGCCAGAAGTTCTGGGAAAGGATGCAGCAAGTCCCTTGTACTCGTGTCTAGTCGTCTGGCTAGTCCATCTATTCTCTACCTGGGACAGTGAGCCTGTCGAAGATAGAATCGGTGGCATCCTCGCAAGTATGTTCAACGCTTCACACAATCATACGAAGCTATGGTCTACGTTTGTTGGTATTACTGCCTTTGTTCGGGCCTGCACTACTGGTTTGTGAGATTCCTCGGGTAGATCAGAGAGTCCTATACTGATCCCTCCAGAACTCCTTGATGCTCTTGACGCCTATCAGTCTCGAGCTCGGCTTACCCATGTGGCCGGCTCCCCTGTAGTATACCCGAAGCAGCCCTGTACTTTGGATCTTGACAGACTTGGCCTGCGCTGTGGATCTCTGAAGAAATTGATCAGACTTGAGAGCTGCGCTCAAACAGTCCGTCTATGCCTTGATATGCTCACATCTACAATCAATGCTCACGTTTCTTATAATATCCCCTCTAAACGACAGGATTTGGCATGGCTCTCTAATAGTTATCGGCGCTTGTGGAAGCTCGCTGTGCTTTGGCACTCCAAATCAGATACTGAGGACGTCACAAACCAAGTGCCGACCTTTTCACAGTTCCTGAGGTTCATAAAAAGATTTTGTGACCATGTTCCACATACATCAGCGAAACAGAGGCTAGCATACATTTTCCTCCAGACATTCGCAGAAACCTTTGCTCTAGAAATGCTAAATCAGGCTTCTGTTCTCCAATTAAGCCTAAGCCATGCCATTGACAGCTTCACTAAGGCTTTCACATCCGAAAAAAATATAATGCAATCAATGGGGGCTACTGTGCTACCTATTAAGAGTAACCTCGCATTGTTCAGTTCATTCGATACTTGTCTTCAGGTATATCATCCCATATGGCCCTCACCATAGCTACCGGCTGGTTAACTCAAAGCTAGGCTGCGATCGAATGCTCCCTCTTACATTGTCCTATGACTTACAATTCCAACGCGAAAGGTGCAGAGGCAGCTTTCTGCGGGGGGCATTCAACGGAATTGGTAGCTATTCACGAATTCCCGGGTTCTGACCACTCTTCCATTAGTGGTGTTGGGGCTGTCCGGATGGCCAAACGTCGCTGTCTCCCGCGATTGGATGCCTACAGAGAAGGCCAAAATGGGGCACAGAGGCTTATAGCCAAGTCAATTGAACTACTCGGCTGTGATCGGAGTGGCACCCTGGGGGATCTGAGCTGTGCGGTTCTGTAAGTCGACATGTATTGTCCCCATGAATACAATTGTTGACTGACAACGGAAAGTACATCATACATTGGACTATCGGAGCCGGACAAACTAAGATTCTTATGTGTTCTGTGCAATATCCCCTGTGCATTGTCTGGAAACCTGGTAGATATGTTGAATGTCGATTCAAAGGACAGTTTCAACTGTAGAATCTGTGACTCCAAATGTCGTGATATCGAACCAGAAAGCAATTCCAGCATTCTCAAGAGCGATGAACTATGTCAGATCTTGAATCACATCATTTCGAACCTTTCACGGACTGCAAACCTGAGAATAGCTGCGACAGTTGCGTTAAGAAGGACGTTGATGCATACTTCCGACCCAGCTCATATGCAGCTTGCATCTTCTGCTTTCGGCGAATTTTGCCTCAATTCTCTCAGGAGCTCTGTCAGAGAGCTACGTCTTACTACAGGGTATCTTCTATTGAAAGATCTTGCGAAAACTGGGAAGTGCTGACCACTCTTCAGACATTCGATAACCTCGTTCGTTCGTAGAGATCTCGACCACGAAACCCGACGAGGTAATTTCATTGTCATTCTGGACTGGTTGCAGAGCCTCTCTGAGAAACAGGAGATGCCATTACATGAGACATGTATTCTTACTCTATGTCATCTGGCGCAGTGAGTTTGATCCTGCCAAGTGGTTGTGAGCATTCGCTAACATATCGTATATCTACAGGTTTTCTAACGACGAAGAGATGAATATCATACTTCTTCGTCTGGTAGAGTACCTTGGACATCCGAACCCGTTTATAGGGGCGGTGGCTTATACCGAAGTACGTATGGACCCTGATATTGTGATCATATACTGCCTTCCCCATGTGACTACATTAGGCCAACATCTAATAGAACTTAGCTCTCAGGGCTCGCACAACATCTTTCTGTCACTCCGGCCGCCTTGTTCAGGCCTTTTTGGAGGACCTTGTCAGTGACCGTTGTGAGAAATTTTCAGTCTCGCCCCTACATGGCAGAACAGCTCTGCGACCTCCTGGGTATGAAAGTGGATGACTTCCTCAGATTGACAGAGACCTATGTCCTTCCATATCTGGTACTTACCCGGAAGCGCGATGTGATCATCAGAGTTGGGGCAACGTACAAGGACGCGAAGACACCATTCGATATTTGCTCAGAGAAGAACAATCTTGCATCGATACTCGCTTTTTTGCTGAGCCAACCATCGCCGAATCCAGAGGAATCCGTCATGTCCGCTTTGTCGGAAGTTGATGCTGCCTTTAGGGGCCGTACTCTGGCTGAGCTTTTGAGGATTGAGCCGATACTGATTGCCTGTGACCTACTCAAAGGCCTTGGCGACTTGGGGGAGGACAAAGGCAAGAGGGTAAGTCATTGCCGATTCCACAGCGCGATAGACGTTGACATGAAGGAATTGTAGTTTCTCCGCGCACTTCATCTTTTAGCCGTCCTTGTTCCACGAAAGTCAGGTCACACACCAAGACGAGCGAACCTTATAGGATATTTCATTGAGGAGCATGTCCTTGGAATCATTACACAGTTCGCTCATGCTGTAAATGACTTCCAAATCAGACAACCTCTGATTGAGAAAAAAAGGAACATTGCAGCGATTGGAGAGATGATAAAGGTTGCTCGTGGCCATATCAGTAGCGCCTTACCTCAGGTTCGTACAAAAATCAGCTCATATCATGTGATTTCAGTAGTAAGCTAAAGTGACATAGATATGCGCATGTTTACGAGCTGCTCTTGAAATTCAAGAGCTGTGTAATAATGCATTCATCGTCTGGAGAGTCCTGATCATTTCCCTGCAAGAAGAGGAAGTTGAGCCCCTTATCGATCAGACACTATCAATTGTGATCAGATACTGGGACATGTTCACTGAGGATACAAGGAAGCAAGCGTACGAACTCGTTGAATACATCATGCAGTCTCACCATGAGTTGGTACGCGATATCTTCAATACCATGCCCTCGCTAGCTTCAATTCCAATACTCGACAAGCATGAAGCCACGCTTAATAGCATGAAAGAGAAGATGGATGTACGAAGCCATTTCCTTGCATTCATTCGTCGTTGTCAAAGTGATACTGCAACGGTTGTTGAGCAATCCTTGCATGAGCTAGTTCCTTATCTCTCCCAGAATGAAGAGTTCATTCATAGATCTGTTCTCAGTGAGATTCCAGATCCAGTTGTTGCACAGCTAACACGGTCATTGCTCGATTGTTGTGTGAAATTTAACACTAGCTCGGATGTTATAACCAAGTTATCGGCTGAATGTCTAGGCTTGATCGGCTGTCTTGACCCTAACCGAGTGGACACGGTGAAAGAAAAGAAAGGGATTCTGGTTTTGTCTAACTTCGACAGCATGGAAGAGACCTTTGACTTCATACTTTTCTTCCTCCAGAACGTGTTAGTCGAGACGTTCCTATCAGCTTCAAATACTAGAGCTCAAGGGTTTCTTGCATATGCGATGCAGAACCTACTCAGGTTCTGCGGTCTTGATTCAGCCGTGGCCAATCGATCGCGTGACTTCCGAGCCGATGAGAAATATCAACGCTGGCTAGAGCTACCTGAAACTGTTCGCAACATTCTAGCTCCTTTCCTTACCTCAAAGTATACAGTTACCATTGGGACCCTAAACACTAACTGCAGCTATCCCTTGTTCACAGCTGGATTGACACATGGCAACTGGCTACGGACCTTTGTGCAAGATCTATTGCAAGCCGGGAACGGTGACAATGCGAAATTAGTATTCAGTGTTTGCAGCCGCATTGTGAAAGGCCAAGACATCTCAATAGCATCTTTTTTGCTGCCATTCGCGGTCCTTAACCGTACGGTTTCTGGGAGCCCACAAGAGAAAGAAGATCTACGCTGTGAGCTAGTGAATGTCCTGTCACACCCATTACCAGACACACACGACTATGTGTATGAGAACATCATATTGTGCAGTCAGGTGAGTAGCGTATTTCCATTTATTTGTACAGATTTATTTGATTGCTGTCTCACACTATTCGAAACAGAGCATTTTCGAGGTCCTCGACTACCTTTCAAGGTGGCTACAGGGCAAAAAGAAACAGATAAATAGTCTCAGGAACCCCAGCCATCCTTCAAATCGTAACCACAAGGGAACATCTCGCGATGCTTTGTTAGACACCTACCATTCGCAAGCCAAAGCTGTAGAGATACTTCTGAGTTCGATACCTCCAGAGGTCATCTCCAAGAGGGCTGTTGAGTGCAAATCATTCTCACGGGCTCTGTTCCATTGGGAGCAATACATCCGACAGTGGAAAAACCAGCATTCTAAGCAAGGAGGCGCCGCCGTCGAACCTCTCTACCAGCGATTACAAGATATCTATAGCCGGATCGACGAACCAGACGGTATCGAAGGAGTTTCAAGCCATCTGCACGTGTTAAACATCGATCAGCAGGTACTTGAGCATCGAAAGGCAGGAAGGTGGGCTACCGCACAAAGCTGGTATGAATTGCAACTTGAGAAAGAACCAAATAATAGCGAAGCACAGTGGGGTCTACTCGCATGTCTCAAGGAATCTGGACAACAAGGTATTCCCCTAATCAATCCCCGTCCAGCCGGTCTACTGACACATTCTTAGATGCCATTCTCACGCGGTTCGAGATCTTGAAAGCAAATAATTCATCTAGAAAGTTTCTACCTTTTGCAGTAGAAGCGACCTGGATCACAAGTAATTGGGGAAAGCTAAATGAGTATCTTCAGCAGCTCTCGCGGTTGGGTAGGGGGGAATTCAATATTGAGATTGGATTGGCCCTCAATGCTTTCCGGCAAGGCAAGTATACGGAATTTTGGGAACACATAGAGGCCTTACGACTCAGTGTGGCCAAGTCCCTAACAGCCAACTCCGTGGTTTCGTTGCAGTCATGCCATGATAGCATTCTCAAGCTACATACTCTACACGAGGTAGAGTCTATAGCTCGCGCTAAATTTGAGGATAGTGAGAGCAATGACTCGCGCACAAAGCTACCTGATATACTGGATCGACGTTTGGATATCCTTGGGGGCTACATCTCTGATAAGCAATATCTCTTAGGCCTCAGAAGGGCTACGATGGAGCTAACGTATGTCGCTTTTGCCCTCTTTATGAACTTCTCTAGTCGAATGCTGATAGAGCCTTAAGGAACGAATTTACCGATTCCGACATAGCCGCTGCTTGGCTAACTAGTGCACGTCTGTCGCGCAAAGGCAACTTCACCAATCAAGCCTACCAGTCGATGCTACATGCGGCTCGTCTTAACGATCGATCTGCCACTATTGAGCACGCACGGCTCCTCTGGAAAGACGGTCATCATCGAAAAGCAATACAAACACTGGAAGGCGCAATTACTGCTAATGAGTTCTCGTCAGAAACAGCCACATCTCAAGAGCGTACCTCATCGCTAATTGCAAATAATGGTGAACATCAAAATATGCTCTTGGCTCGAGTATGTCACCGTCCACAGGCTACCGACACGATCTGACTGTAACAATTATATAGGCACATCTGCTCCTGGCCAAGTGGACAGACAGGGCAGGGCAAACACAATCAGATGCTATCGTCCAGAGATACAGGGAAGCTATAAAGCTTCACCCTAGGTAAACTCTATGTCCCAGAAAGGTACGGCAGGTGTTTTGAAGTGGAAGCTAACTGGTTCTTAGGTGGGAGAAGGCTCATTACTACCTAGGCAAGCACTACAACAAAATCCTGGATTTGGAAAAAGCAAAACCTCTGGGAAAGGAAGCACAGATCTAGTCAGCATTCCTATCCCTGACCTGCAAAATGATCAATAGCTCATTTTTTTTCCCAGCTTGAGTGGCGAGGCCTCAAAACTAGTTGTTGACAATTACCTCCGGTCATTGGCCCATGGCAACAAATACGTATTCCAGTCCTTGCCCAAAATCTTGACACTCTGGCTAGAACACGCTTCTACCGTCGACCAGCCGTTTGATCCAAAGAGAGGCGACAACGAGTAAGTAGTGAATATTTTCTTCGGGATCTAAACATTTCAACACCCGTTACCTTCACCTCGATTCGCATGCTGACTGGAATAATCGGGACGACTTAAAGAGATTTCCAAAAGCACACTCTGAGTCAGCGAAAAAAGAGCCTCGATGATATGCATACACAACTCAAGAAATATGTGAACAGGATCCCGGCTGCGCTGGTTGGTAACAAAGTCGAGTACCATATGAAAGATTGCTAACTAGAAACAGCTCTTCACCATTCTCCCTCAAGTTGTTGCTAGGATATGTCACCCAAATACGACGGTATACGACTTATTGACCAAGATCGTAGCCAGGGCAGTTAACTCATTTCCCCAACAAGGGCTATGGACTGTCCTCGCAGTGGTTAAGTCCTCTTCCAAGGACCGGGCATCCAGAGGAATAAACTGCCTGCAGAAGATTACGGTAGGTCAAGAAAGAGAAGTCTGCATCAAATCAGTTCGAGCTAATCTTAAGCAGGAAGTCAACAAGAAACTGAAAAATCAGCCATCGTCAGATATGCGTGGCATGATAAATCAAGGACAGAAGTTCTCAGAGGAAATGCTAAGGTTGTGTATAGCTCGCATCGAAGACAAAGTCCTGAGAGTCAGTCTGCGTGATCTGAAGTTCAGTCATAAGGTGGCGCCTTGTAGGCTTGTGGTGCCGTTCCAAGCAATGTTAACGCCGACGCTACCAGCCAGCCATAAACCTGAATACCTGAAAGGTTTCAGGGCCTTCCCTAGGGATCCTACGACTATTGAAGGTAACGCTTCTTAATTTGACTTCTGCAAAAACCTCACTGACTGTTGATAGCCATACTGGACGATGTGCAGGTCTTGAATTCTCTCCAGAAACCACGAAGGATAGGGATCCGGGGCTCAGACGGAAAAGTATACAACATTCTGTGCAAACCCAAGGATGACCTGCGCAAAGATCAACGGCTCATGGAATTCAACAACATGATCAATCGGCTCTTCAAAAAGGATGTGGAATCGAGTAAACGACGGATGTGTAAGTACTCAAACGTCTGTCATATCCTCTGTGTTCCATTATCCTCTGACCGAGTAATCGCTGTGGCAGATATCAAAACGTACGCTGTGACACCGCTGAACGAAGAATGCGGGCTAATCGAATGGGTCGATAACCTTCGTACTTTGAGGGACATTGTTATCAAGCTCTTGAGAGAGAGAGGCATCGCGCCAAACGTAAGTTTTTCAGCTTCATGATGATAGCCATACAGCTATTGAAGTGGTTCTACTATAGTATAATGAGATCAGACACGACCTGAACGAAGCATGCTCCGACAACTCAAAACTCCATCTTTTCACAACAAAAGTTTTGTCAAAGTAAGTTTTCCGATTGCACTTCCTCTTGATTCGCTCCGTTCCAAGACTAATCTCGATGCAGGTTTCCTCCAGTTCTGTATGAATGGTTCATTGAAATGTTTCCCGAAGCAGGATCATGGTTTGCTGCCAGAATTCGCTATACTCGTTCCTGTGCTGTTATGTCCATGGTTGGGCATGTCCTAGGGTTCGTCAATCCACAGTCTGCTGATATATGTCCTTTTCAGCTTATTTCTCTGCAGGTTAGGTGATCGACATGGTGAAAATATACTGTTCGAGGAAGGCACGGGAGGTGTTTTACATGTCGACTTCAATTGCCTTTTCGACAAGGTTAGGCGCCCGAGACCCAAGACAAACCTGCCTTGCATCTTTTTGGCTGACATGGATAGGGATTGACATTCGATATACCTGAATTGGTTCCGTTTCGTTTGACCCAAAACATGGTTGATGCGTTCGGTGCCTATGGATACAATGGTTCGTTCTAATCGACCTCTGAAACGTCCATGTACTAATATCATTGATAGGTCCGTTCCGCAAGACATGTGAAATTAGTCTTGGTCTACTTCGCCACAACGAAGACGCACTCATGACCGTTCTGGAGACGTTCTTGCATGACCCTACCACGGACTTCATCGGGAAGAAGGTAAGCACCACCCAAGATGTACACGCTCACGTTGCTGATAAACAGAAGCGTCGTACACATGCCAATGCCCCAGAGACACCTGCCGGTGTTCTAGAGAATGTTCGCAACAAACTTCGTGGCCTTCTACCTGGGGAATCAGTCCCCCTTTCGGTAGACGGTCACGTAGACGAACTAATTGTACAAGCAACGGATGTAAAGAATCTAGCTGCTATGTATATTGGCTGGTGCGCCTTTTTCTAGAGGTGCTTCTCGACACTGGCCCTGGTCCTGGGTGATTTGTGATTGCTGGAGCTAGATTGCGGATGACTTGGGTTTCCTAAATTTCTCCCGTGCACAAGATAACTTTACATTATTAATTATAGGACAAGGCTTCAAATTGATTCGAGTGTAGAAGTCCACCGGCCTGCACCCCATCATCACTCTGCCAGTCCCATGTAGTTGAACGACGCCAAGAACGGTAGCTTCATTGTGACATCCTATAAAGACTATCAAATGACACCAAGACCATATCGTAAAACAATCCTGGGTTAATGATGGTCTCTTCTTAGGCTCGCGCTCCGTTCCCTATCGCTGCGACTGCTATAGCCATAGCTGCTGTAGCTCGGGCTACGGCGACGGCGACGTTGGGAGCTGTCCATACGCGAGTGTGTCCGCCTTGGCGGTGGTGAAGTTGAACGGGATTTTGAAGAAAGGGATCGAGAGCGGCGTGGCGACCTGGAGCGCGACAGAGAGCGAGGCCTATAGATGTCATGTCTTTCCATATGCCGAGAACGGCGATATTTCCTAGCCGGTGGCGGTGACCTTGGAGCGCGACTATCCGACGGGGGTCCGCGGCCATGTCCTGGGCGGCCAAAGCTTGCTCTGCTATGTTGAACTGGTGGTGGTGAGCGAGAAAAAGCTCTCCTAGGAAGGACAATCGACACATTCAACGTGGCACCATCTAGCTGAGCTTCATGCATATGCGCGATGGCTGCCTCTGCATCCGCAGGATCGTGGTAGAGTATGTATGCAGTGCCCCTGTTTGTCATGACTAGTAGAGCGTCAGCCTGGGCATGTAGGAAAGCATGAGTCTATAGGACTTACAAGCTTTATTCATGGGAAGATCAAGACTTTGTATGTCACCAAAACCACCAAATATCTCCCGAAGATGTGATTCGGTAACATTTTTGGTCAACTTTTCAATAACTATCTTTGATTTCCGTTAGTTCCAGCATAAAACCTACAGACTGGGATGATGCAAGCGCAACCGACCTTTGAGCTTCTTGAAGCATCGGCAGAGGGACTCGGGGTCCGGCTGAAGTCTTTCTTTCTGTAACGTCTGGGCGCTGAGCTTCGGCTTCGGCTTCGACTACGGGATAGCGCTCTGTTGTGCGACGGTGACCGCGACCAGCTTCTGGAACGGTGACCATTGCGGCGAACAGCACCACGCTCCACAGAACGCCTCCGGGGTGTGGTGTTGAATCTCGATTCTGAGCGAGGGGACAAAGAACGCTGCAAGGATGGGGCCCGATCAAATTCCGAGGATGGCAAACGGCCACGAGAGCGGCCCCGAGTGTATTCTTCTGGCATCCTACAGGATCCACTTGGTGGAGGGAGCTTTCTAGGAAACCACCAAGGGCAAGCTGAACAGATTGTAGCAAGAAATAAGTCTGGGTAAGCGAGATATCAAGGGAGCGAGACGCATCGAAGGTCTGGTTGGTATGGAGTGGGGTTACCCAAGACGGATCAAAAGTTGCAGAGTAATTGGCACCTTGTTGTGTCATGTATGAAGGTCAGAGCCAGGTAGGTTTGCTATCCGCACGATAGGCGGGTCCCATGTTTGTTATCCTAATCCCCTGCACATCAAGAACCAATGCTAAAATATCATTCATTTTCTTTCTTTCCTGTTTTCCTTCTTCTCTTTCTCTTTCTCTTTCTCTTTCTCTTTCTTCTACTTTCTCGGTCTTGGTTTCTTTCCTCTTCGTCTAAGAATAAAAAAGAGAACCCACATGTTGAACAAGGTACCCAGTCAATTAACAGCAGCTCCATGCTTGAAGATTGGTTTATTACTTCCAAGTCGGAATGATCGCATCGTTATATAGTTTCTATATAGAGACAATTGTGCTCATATGTCAACAGAGTCACCCCACTGTTCGTACGCTTCAACAACATCAGCCGTTATTTGTCTCTTCACCTGCTTAAGCGCATACTCGAAATGCTCCCATCGGATATCTTGCGCTTCGCCGGTCTCCTCTTCTGCATCCAACGCAGCATCACCGGCTGTCTCACATATGCTCACGATCTCAGCCCCTGAATACCCGTCAGTTTTCATGGCCAACACATCCACCTCAACTTCCGGGTTAATGACGGATTTGCGGAACCATATGTCCAAAATCTCCTTCCGCGCCTCGTAGTCGGGAGGTCCTATGTAAAGTATATTGTCCAATCGACCGGGGCGCATCAACGCCGGGTCTATCACTTCAGGTTTGTTTGTGGCGGCGATGACTAGGACACTTTTAAGCTCCTCGATGCCATCCATTTCATTGAGAAGAGTTGTAAGAACATTAACCCCGCCTTGTGATGAAGTGCCACGTTTCGAGGCGATAGCGTCTATCTCATCAAAGAATATGATGCTGGGCCTTGCAGAACGAGCTTTTCGAAAAATTTCTCTTAATGCTCGTTCAGATTCTCCGACGTACATGCTTAGGATCTCGGCTCCCTTGACTGCCAGGAAGTTCAGCCCTGCTTCCGTGGCCAATGCTTTCACCGTCAACGTCTTAGAGCATCCAGGTGGCCCGTAAAGAAGTACACCTTTCTTGCTGGTCAAATTAAGCCTCCTCATTCGCTCGGGATGCTTGGCCTTGTCAGAACTGCAACAACACAATCTAAAGGTGCGCGCTTACCTTCAATGGACGCTCCACTGCTTTCTGCAAACGTCTCTTAATTTCGTGCTGCCCACCAATGTCCGACCACCTGACCTTGGGCGTCTCCAAGAACACTTCCCGCATAGCAGTAGGTCGAGTTTCCTGCAGGGCTGATAGGACATCAACGTCCTTTATATGTATAGCTGTTCCTGGTTCAGGAGTGGTTGGACCTTCAACAGCATTATCGGCAGGTATGCGTTTGTCACCAAAACTAAACTCAGGTTCCAACATCTGTCTTTGCCGTGCCTTGCGACTAATCAACTGAAGCAAAGCGAAGAGATCGGCACCCACGTAACCATGGGTTTTCTCCGCTATCAAGTCTATGAGGGTGTCGCTCAATGCCGGGGATGGGGATCCACATATAGCACGCAATATTTTGGCTCGATCCTGTGCTGTCGGAATATGCAGTTCAATCTCAGTTGCTAGTCGATGCGGTGTCCTCAGGGCATCATCGACATCATTTGGATGACGGGTTGCAGCCACAATCAAAACGAATGCATTCTTTGTAGCGTCAATGCATTCGCATAGAACCGATGCCAACGACTGGCTATCGAGCGATGTCCGTCTAGGCGCAATGAACTCCACCTGGTCAATCAGGATTGCACTGGGTTGAGAACGCATTGCTTCTTGGAATATATTGCGCATCTTGGATTCGGCATCCCCGATATTGCGGCCAAAGGCTGAGGACCCAATATGGAATGTTTGCCTCCACCCTGCTGCTTTAATCTGTTCCAGAAGCGCCGTCTTACCTGTTCCCTTCGGACCATAAAGAAGAATGCCTCGACTGTGTTCATAGAATGAAGGCATTACTAGATTGACTAGACCAGGGTTAAAGTCAGCAAGACTTTCATTGATACTCTCGATTTGCCGGTCCATTCCTCCCAGCCCAGTCGGCCGCACTTGGATAGTAGAAGTTCCGCGCTCTAGAGGTTTCTTAAGATCTTCGCCCATTATGATCTCGCTGGTTTCGGCGAACCTGAAGAGAGTACAGGTAGTACTTCCATCTTCACCTGAGATATCTGCCACTCTGAAGCTCCGGCGTTGGCCCCTAAGCTCTACCTCAAATACTAGGCCAACAGTAATGCCATCGCATTTCAGAAGAGGAAACTCCAGGGACCATGACCAGTGGATTATGTCAGAGGGTGGAATCGTGCCGTATCTTGCAATCCTATCACTATCTGAACACTCTATAATGGAGACTTTGTCGATCTTATTCAAGGGGCCATCGACCTTGCATATTGTAATCTTCTCCCCAATTTTGAATCCATAACATTCCTGAAGAGTTCTTGAGGTCTGTACAACCGTATTCTGAATGTTCTCGGTCGCGTTCCAAGCTATTGCCGTTCTCGATGGACCGTCGGCGAGACTAATGTTGCACACATCTCCAGCTCTGAGCTTCAGAAAAGCCAGGGACGACGAGGAGAGATAAACGCGAAAGGCATCTCTATGATCAGTTCTTGTTTGTTTTGACAGCGGTCGAACTGTGAAGGCTCGAGTCTCGGACATTTTTTTAGCGGTAGCTGAAGGCCCCTCCAAAGTAACGACTAGTGTCCCGCGTTCCCACTACTGCAGCTGAGTACACCTGCTCTCTACAGTATCATGACCTGCATAATGTTTTTTTTTTGTAAGCAAATCTTAAACATCGGAAACGATAAATTTGACTTGTTGGAACATTGTGACTGCCTTGACTTACAGATAGGTGATCCGAGAAAGGCGTAAGTAAACTGGCTGCTGAGCGCGTATACTGAATTGAGAAAAGCGGGATCGAAAAGAAGGATTAAAAGTCCGATAAAGGGAAAACCAACACAAGGATTTGGAAGGCTCTTTCAGAAAATTTCCCTCTTTTCTATTGCTGCTATCCTTGACCGATTCATACGATGTAGAAAGACAAAGGACGGAGAAAACAGGGTTCCGAACAAAATCTGTACTCCGTAAAGTGTTCGTTCACAAATAATGGGCCATCTCAAATGGATATCCACACAGCCCCACTTTGAGAGGAGCAGAAGATACAATATTAACATCATGGTCTACTATACCGGCCGCAAATGTTTCTGAGTACTCGATAGTAACTTCTTTCCGGCACAATGAGAGAATGGCAATGCCAGTGCTAGTGTCAGTGCTATATTAAGTTACTGAATGAGAAGTGTTCAAACCGTACAGAGAAGACTAACTCTCACAGAAGTGCACATTACCAACGAACTTCATGCATTCTTCCTTCTACCTATCCAAGTAGCTTATACATCATCATCTTCGGTTAGATTAGACCATGATCCTCCAGGAACATCTTTTTTCTGGCCCGCGTTTCTTATCAACGCTCCTAGTGTGGTGATGCTCAATACCTCGGTGCTATCCCTAATCGACGATCTTCAATTTATAGTACGACCACCATCATGATTGTCTCCGGCTGCAGTCAACTTTTGCCAAGACCATTCAGATACGGACATGCCCCAAGTTTCCTCATGTATATTAGGAGATGCTGGCGGGTGATGTATACCGCACTTGCAAAAGACTGTTTATGCTATACCTAATTTCACTTGCACAGTAATGAATACAACAGAGAAACGCCACCTGGGAAAATTCGATCGCAGTAAATGGATGACGACCCAAGACAGACCAGAGAGAAGAATGAAGGCATTCACGAAAACCATAAGCCCCTGCCTTCATTATCAACATACATGGGTTAGGAGCAGAATCAGCCAATTAGCTTCCCAGCATCTATTCGAACCGTGAACATAATGATGTATTGAAGCCATGGCACACAAACCTGTAACACGCAAAGACATAGAGTCATAATGGAAAAAGATAACCCGAAGACCAAACGAGAGTGTACTAACAAATCAACAGCATTTCCCACCCGCGTTGCCGTTCAACCCAGAACCTTGCTGGTCTATGCTCACGCCCTGGGAGCCGACCTGTTCGGACTTCGACGTATCCATTCCTTTCTTGATATCGGATGCGAGATCATAAAACGCTTTCTCGATGTTGATGTTGTTCTTAGCTGATACTTCAAGGAATGGTATTCCCAGCTCATTGGCCAATTGCTGCCCTTGCTCAGTTGACACAGCTCTCTTCTCTTCCCAATCACATTTGTTGCCAATAAGGATCTTGTGAACGCCTTCGCTCGCATGTTGCTCAACATTTGAGAACCAAGTGCGAATGTCTAAGTAAGGCGATTGGGCATTAGCATCAAATTATCTCATGATCCACCTCGGGTTTAAGGAAAGCGTTTCTCACTTTGAAATGATCTTTCGTCGGTAACATCGTATACAAGAAGTATGCCCATAGCTCCTCTGTAGTATGCGGTAGTGATAGTTCTAAATCGCTCTTGCCCAGCTGTGTCCCATATCTGGAGCTTTACGCGTTTACCGTCCAACTCGATGGTACGTATCTTGAAGTCGATTCCGATCGTAGTAATGAACGACGGAGTGAACGAGTCTTCACTGAATCGCAATAGACAGCATGACTTTCCGACCCCAGAGTCACCAATCAGCAGTAACTTGATCTACAGAGACCGATATTTAGCTTATTGATTTCTTGGGGCATTAATCAATACTCACCAGGAAGTCGTAGTTCCTTGTACCAGCCATCTTGTTGTTGCAGACTCGAGGTATACAGAGAGCGAGGGATAAAAGCCGTGATAGTGAGTTTATGTTCTGCGTTGTGCTAATCCCTACTCGATATTCGTCTTAGTTGGGTTTGACGTTATTCTCCCCTCTCCTCTGTTGGTCTTGCGTGCCCCCTCTCTTTTCTCCTATCCCTTCCGATTCCGCTTATGGTTTCTCGACAAGTTTGTGTTTGGCTGGAATCAAGATTTCACTTCACTTAATTTGTCTGCTTGTCTCCGTCAATAATACCGACTGTAAGAGGACTCAAGTCTTCGAATAGTGGCAGGTGCTGGATTCAGGATCTTCCACGGAACCAGGAGCCGGTCCGGAGAATGGGGTCAGGGGACGGGACGGGACAAGACAGGTGTTGTATCGGAGACCTTTTGTTGAAGTAAGAATCGGCGACGTTGGACACGTTGAATTTCGGAAAGTTGCCGGGTAAATAATTTCATTCGATAGACAACAGTAGCACGACTTATCTTTGGGAACTGATTTCCTTCCAAGGTTTATTAGGAAGCTGGCAGCAGTATATGCACGTACAGTGAGTACATGTTCGGAGTAGTATCCCGGGCACTTGTGTAATCGCCTAGTATCGTCCGGTCTACCCAAGCGCACCCCACAGATGAGAGTATTTAACTATCAGCTTTTATAACCACTTTAAGACAGCTACTGTTCATTTGTGGCTCCAGTCAGATGTTCCAAACACGATAGACAAAAACAATAATAAAATCAAGAGTATTACTTGATGATATAGCATCAATACCCGGTAGCCTTGATCATATCCTTGGGTATTGAAATGGTCACTAACATCGAACACGTCATTTCACCCGGTTTACACTAGGATTGTCCGAGATATACCAAGGTGTAGAAATGAGCTCCCTTGTACATAAGCTTGGTGTAGATTGGACCACCACAATATTCTATCATTATTCGACAATACGTCTACGACAGAACGTAAGAGATAATACAGTAATACTTGTCGAGAATATTGTCAGCCGCCAAAGTCAAAAGGCATGAATCATATTTTCCACCAAAAGAGTGAGCATAACGGACTGCATCAAATCCATTTTGAGTAGACCCAGCCCATTCGTTCAACAACCTTGAGTTGCCGGTCAATCGTATCTTGCTCGACTAATTCATTGATGTCTTCCTGGAATGAACGGAGATCTGCGCCTTTCAGTATGATCCGCGCCTTTGAAAGTAGGACTTCGGCGTTGCATATGAGGAGACCATAGTCTCTAAATGCCAGCGCATTGCCAGGAGTGGAGGCAGACGATGTTAAAGTCCGATGTACAATCCTACAGCGATATATTAGGCCTGAATCAAATTGTTCTTTGGGACTAGGCTAGTACTTACCGCAAAGCATGCCTCAGTTCGTCCTGCTGCTTACCCATTCGGAAGCCCCTTCGACTGCCCAGCAAGCCGTAAAGCCAACGAAGAGTCGCAAATGACACCATTAAGCCTGGGGTTAGTCCAATAAACCTATAGAAAGTCAACGGCTACTCTGGTATTCTTGGCCGGGAGTCGTACCCAAAAACCAGCTCTTGGCTTTTCAACAGAGCGTCAATTCCCCCTATCGCGATTTCAACATCTACTTTTGTTTTCTGTATCTGTATCAGAAGTGCTCGCACCAAATCACCCTTGATGGTCCCGACAAAAGGACTACGTAGGTCATTTTCATATGCTTTCAGCACTGGTGTCAAGTCACCTTCCCGGACTTTAGCAGCAATGACATGGGTATCAAAAGCATCATAGTCATTCTTGTTCGGTTCACAACGATCAAGAACGAAGTCCACAACCATTCTTTCCAAACTCGCTCGATCGGCTTCCAAGCTGTTTCTACTCATCAATGCAATTTCACTTTTTTCATCATGTCTTATAGTGCCGACAAGCCTGCGAAGTGGGTCTACAACCCAGTTGTTCCAAAACTCGATAGTGGTTGAACCGAAATTGGCAATCCATTCCAAGAGCTCATGGCGCCTATTCCGTAACAGCTCCAGTGATGTACTTGTTGATAATAGTGCAAGGGTCAAAGGTAACCAAAAACGTACTAGGTAATGGGGGCGTCCAGAGTTGTTGATTGTTGTCGCTGAAGCTTTGGCATAGGCCGGTAGAAGCTGTTCAAGTATATAGCCCAATTGGTTCATGACAAATCTCGGACCCTCAGATGATAGATCACTGCAGTAATGCATGCGCATCGACGTGACTTCTTGATTGATCGCCATGTTTATGTGCTCTTCATGATTCCACGGGACACTTCCCTTTTCAGCATCTTCGAGAAGCAATTTCATCAAGGCCACACTCTCAAGGACGTTGATCTGCAAGCTCTCAGTGAACATACCATGGCTATTGTCACCTGTAGAATTGTCGCCTGTAAAATTGTCGCCAACTGCGCATGAGAAACTGTTTCTTATGAGGATCCCTATGCTACAAGCATTCATATCTTTCAATGAACTCAATATCTTCCGCTTCTGCCGTACATCTGACTTCGCTGTTGAGAGTGGTGATAACATCCTTCCCCGCCAAAGATGCAAACTTTGGGGAAGGACACACTGACGAACAGATTCGTAAAACTGCATCCAGCTGGGTTGACCGGACGTCCGGGAATTGTTCATGGAGTTAGCATGGTGCCAGACTTTTCGGGATCTGTTCCAAAGCACCACTGGCGAGGTTTGGAGCATATAGAGCCCAAGTGACCAGGGGGACTCCAAAACACTATCCCAATAGAGCATCTCGTCATTGAGGGAGAGTACATCATCTGATAGCGTATTCAGTATAACTCCGAGAGTCTGGACTGCAGCCTTAGCAGCTACGAGCCAAGAAGTGTCTACGACGTGTGCCATGAAAACATTCACGTCTGGCAGCGTGGGATCAGCATTGAGCACATCATCGGGGTATTCAGCAATTATTTTCAAAAGCCTTTCCGTCTGCAGTAACGGTTGAGACTTGGATGTCACGGAAAGTGAGTCCATGAGCTTCTCCAGTTTCGCGACATTCTCAATGGGGTATTTTGCTTGGCTTGCGTGTTTGTAGACGTCTAGCGATTTCGGATAGGCATTATCGCTTATTTGCCGCCACAGTTTATCAAAATGTGCATCCAGACCGTATGCCCTACGGTGACAGTGTCAATACTCCCCTCATGCTGACAATACGACTGAGTAACTTACTTATTTATCGCATACATTGCGAATGGTGAAGCAAACGGCAGGGTAGGGCGAACAATGAAAAATAAGTGGAATAACCAGAAGGAATACTACTCAAGAAGTTCGGGTTTAAGAATAATGGCGTCATGCGCACCAAGCAAATCATGCAAACACCAAGCCCACTTTCACCCTTTGCATCATGTACTCTCTTCTCTCTTCAGACCAGATGATATAATCAAATGTATCAGTTGGTGGATTATGGCAGGGTAACACGGTGTTCTGAGCATTACCTGAATTGCTACTACATCTATCGTAAGGCGATTGAACTCACAGCGAGTCAAGCTTGAGGTAGGAGATAAATAAGGCCAATCAAGAAAAAAAACATCCGTCTGCGGAGGGCTGAATATATTGGGAAATCTATACAAAAGTACAATGAACACCGGACACGGCAGTGACTATAATACAAGTAATATTTGTGTGATATGAAAGTTGTGCTCAGCACGCCCTTCGCTTTGTAGTCCTCGGGCCACTGGTTATGGCTTAGTAATCTGGCCCCTGGCCCCCTGTCTGAAATCTCCCGAACCATGTTGCCTCCATTCAGAAGGGCAGGTGTATGTACATGTTAATATAGTGCACGGAGAGTATGTCTCATTAACCTACCCGGGTGCTGCCTAGATCTAATCCAGTCCACCAATATCTACAAAGCAAATGCTCTATACAGTGCAGTGAGGAGGTCGCTTTGATTAGCTGCTAGGGGTAGGAATAATAATTTAATTAGATAATAATAAGTAGTGAACATACTAACGTATCTACCAAGGAATACAGACTAGTTTCCAAGCAAGTGGAGCTAACTAATATCGGTCCCAGTCGGCTAGCCAGTGGTGCCAGATAGGTCCAAGGCCAGGGGGAAAAGGTCTCGCCACCTCGGGAGCGGCTGTCCTGGTCGCGCGCTTCTTCCACAAGTGTTCCTGAAATACCAGCCAACCTCTCACAGGCAACAATTCATTAACAACTACTTATTTGTCGCTGCAACACTTTTATCCTCGTTTATAAAATTGGCCATATGCCAATCGCATAAACACGACTCTCTAAACCTCATATACCTCTGTCGTCTACGTATTCTCGCTCTGATAGCGAGGGTTTATTGAAGGAGAGTTGAGAAGAAAAGTGCCAAGGGCAAAAGCCGGCCTGCGTCCCTGTACAATGTGAGCAGCTTTTGATGTACTACCCGATTTATATATGAGTTCTTACAGGACATAGGAATTCCACCTTGCTGTCTACGCCAGAATCATACTGGGGCCAGTTTGAAGAAATCTCCAAATACAATACTCATCTGAACGTGGTCGAAAGACTATGGACAGCATGGTATGCCTGGATGCAAAATGACGTTCTTGCAACTGGAATCATGTCTTTTGTAATGCACGAAATTGTATATTTCGGGCGTTCCCTCCCTTGGATCTTTATAGACACTCTCGGTTTGTTCAAGAACTACAAGATTCAAAGCGTGAGTCTCAGGATCACCGAAGCTTACTTGCCATTGTTCTAACTGGGTTACAGAGCAAGATACCATCCTTACGAGAGCAATGGGATTGTGCTAGATTTGTGCTACTCAGCCATTTTACCGTAGAGCTGCCACAAATATGGTGAGAAATACTTGATCTTTCTATGGGCCATTTGTGATGGCGTTACTAACAGCTCTAGGCTTTTCCACCCGATGGCCCAGTTTTTTGGCCTGTCCACCTCTGTACCTTTTCCCTCTTTGTGGACCATGGCTTATCAAATAGCGATATTCTTTGTTCTGGAAGACACGTGGCATTACTTTTCCCACCGTGCTCTCCATTGGGGTCCACTGTATAAAGCCATCCACAAGATTCATCATCAATATTCCGCACCTTTCGGTATGGCAGCTGAATATGCTTCTCCAATTGAAGTCATGATTCTTGGATTTGGTACTGTTGGTTGCCCAATTCTATGGTGTGCAGTAACCGGCGATCTGCATATTTTTACGATGTACATCTGGATCGTCTTGCGGCTTTTCCAGGCCATTGATGCGCACAGTGGCTATGAGTTTCCATGGAGTCTTCATCACTTCCTCCCTTTCTGGGCTGGCGCAGACCACCATGATCTCCATCACGAGAAGTTTGTAGGAAATTATTCCAGCAGCTTCAGGTGGTGGGATTATCTTCTGGACACCGAATACTCCCCGGAGGCTATCAAGAGGAGAAGGGAAAACAAGTCTGTGAAGGATACCAAGAAGGCTCAGTGATATTCCAGTCTTTGCAATGCCTGATTTAAAGGTGACCTGTATGGGCCATGTCTCGGGGCCATATGGGCGCTCTGGCGACACGGCCATTCGGCGGGACTTGACCATGGTTATCGACGACGTGATACATCATTTTATGACTTACACTTGCTAATATAGAGATATGGATTTTAATTCAAGTTTTATTCTTTTGGGTCGATTGACTAGCTGAGGGGTGTCATGGCTAGGATTGGACTATATCCCTTGCCTTGAGCAGACTTATGTAATTTAGTTTATTGAAAATAGTTTTTATCTCCTTGTCATATATGTTCTTTAAATTCTAGTTTTGATCCTTATGATAGGAAACAGGAGCAAGGCTGTTAGGGAGCGTTGTTGGAGATGTGTTAATGTTGGGCTTACATCATAGTAGCAACTAATATCTAGTTACCCTAGACTGATTGCTTATCCCCGGAAACACCTAGTGTTGAGACCCCGGCCTGTGCGAACCTAAGACTAATGTCCGAATTAATTCTTAGTGCGCCTTAAGGAGTGATGTTATAAGTGGAACATTCAGCAAGCACCAGCAGATAGCTTGTTGGTGCCGGCACCAACACTGTTGTCACTCTAACCCTATGGTCAGATTCCACATCCTATTATGCCTACTGGTACCGCTTTATACTTTATTTAGAAAGCTATAGGGGCCTACTCTCTTTATCAAATAATAGATGTTCATTTTTATCAGATATTTCCATGTATAATCTACTGGGATAGTAATAATTCGGATATGATAAATCTTAATTCAAATTAAAATTTTCTTACCTAATATATTTAAGAAATTGATCCAATAAGGCTGGTGCTACCAGTGTGGAATGATAAACAAATCTTAATAATTTCTTAATATTCTTGGTTACTGAAACTATCTAGGACGGCTAAGAGATTAGCTTTCCTTAGTCAGTTATTTTACTGTAAGCGGCTGCTAACTAATCAAGATTTATTTAAATAGTTATATTAGTACTAGTATTAATAACTTTCTTCTTAACAGATAAAGACGAAGAAACAAAGATTTATTATTATAATTGAAATAGTTTTTAAATAAAAAGCTATTTATTATAGAGCAGGATGTCTTATAATAGTTAATTATATTATTTAATATAATTTAATTACTTATTAAATACAGTAAAGCATATATTTATAATCTTAATTAAATTTAGAAGTTGGATGACTGTATTATTCATATTTTCAAAGAATTATTTATTATTAAATAGTTATAGATTAATAATAGTAATATTATCAGTAGTAGTAAGTAGTTCTAGATTAATAATAATAATATTATTATTAATTATTATTTCTGCTCCAGTAGTGGTATCTATATAATATAATATAATTTATTATAAATAATATTGAATATAAATAATTATATTATTAAAAGATAAGATATTATCAGCAGGCTCTTTAGTATATATTTATTATTTATTATTAAGATTAGTAATATACTCTATTGTGATAGGATCTACTTGTCAGGATAGAAAGCCTGCTAACTAGATAAGAAATTAGCTATTAAATACTATAAATCCATCTGGTAATGATAAAAATAATCTATATTTATAAGATAAAATGATTCTTGAGAGATTAATAATTTTTTATAAAAAGATTAATATTTTATAAAGATCAGAAAGTTATAGAACCATTATTAATAATCTTATAATTCTTAAAATTATTATAATATATTATCTTAATAGTCTTATCTCTAATAATTAAATCATTTCATTATAAATACTCTTTTTTTACTAGGACAAGCCACCTAGCTTAAATATTAAAAATAATCTCATATATTTTTATATTTAAAGTAATGAAGATCTGATAATAAAAAATAAAAATTTATAAGATGTATAATATTAATAAAACTATATAAAAATAATATATAATTTCATTTATAATCAATTATATTTACATAGATAGATCTACTATAAGAAAACATAAATAGAAAATTTTTATATTATTTTTTTCTTCTTTTACTCCATGGTTATTATTTTTTTTATAATTATTTTATTTTTTAATAATTTTATATGGTTTTCTTCATTTCCTTTATTATATATTAATTATTTAGTAATTAAATATTCTTAAATATTTTTTATATTTTATTTATTATAATATTATATACTTTATATTAGATCGCTTAATATATCTTTTAAAAAAGAAGATTTATATATTATAAGAATAATTTACTAAAAAATATTATTTTTTATATACATTGTATATATACTATAAACAGTAAATTTAATATTTTAGAAAAAAATTTTTATAATATTAATTATTATGTAAATATTTATATTTCTGTACTATATTATCTCTATTCTAATAATGAAAAAATATATTTTATAATATATATTACTTAGTTTCTTTTATTATACTGGATATGATATTAAAATTAATTAGACTTTTATAAATATATTTAATAATATCTATAATCTTACTGAAATTCTTAAGTGGTAAATAGCTATTATAAGTTTTAAAATAAAAATAAAAATATTTAATCATATTAAAATCATCTATATTTATAAATTTAATTAAAGAAGACTTGTAAGGATATTTAAAAATAAATATTTTATAAATTATTAAAATAAATAATTATTAAATAGTATTTCAATAAAAAATATAGTATTATATAATTTATTTCTTATTATTTATTATTAATTTATTGATTTATTGATTTATTGATTCTTTTATTAGTATTACCTCCAAGCGGTATTATACATATAACTGTATATTATTATTATATTCATTATTTAAAAATAAAAGCTATATAATCTAGATTATAATCTTGAAATTTATTTAAATATTATTATTAATATAATTTGTATCTAATATTCTGATATTATAAGGATGAATATAATAAGATAGTGTGAAGAGTATATCTTATTCATGAGTATAAAATATAAGATAAATTTTCTTAAGATATTATTATTAACTATCCTCTCTCTGCCCGCAAATAGTGAGGTATTTATAAATAGCCTGTGGATTATATAACAAGTATTAATTAAGTTTTATAATAGAATTACTATTAATATAGATATTTCTTATAATAATAAGTATTATAATGATTATAAGAATTTAGATTTTTATAATTATTTTTCATAAGGTCCTAATCCCCAAGGCTGCAAGTATTAATAATAATTATAATAATTATTCTAATATAAACTTGTTTCACGGTAGCTAATAATATCTAATATTATTTATAATAAATTCAATACTATTAAAACTCCTGTATATAAATCTTTATAGAAGAAATTATATAAAAGAAAGATATTTTTTATAAAACTTTTATAAGGCCTTTTGAATTAATTTTTATAATATATTATTATATTTTATATATATTATTTATTTTTATAATTTTTATAAGCTGTTTCTTCACGAGTATTCTTTTATAAATTTTTATTTATAAAATTTTTTATAAAATATATAAAATATTATTTCATTATATATAAAATCCTAGAATTTACTACAGAATCTTAGAATTCTTGTAGGGTTTATTTTAAAATTAAATAATATATTTTATTAATAATAAAATTATTTTAAGATATCAATTAGGATTCAGAGCTCAGGATTTCTAGTAAATTTCTATATAAATTTTTTTTTATAATTTTTTTTCTGGCTCTCTTCCTCCCCCGTAAGAAATGTTTATATATAATCTACTTTTTTTATATTTATAATAATTGAGTAATTACTTATTTTCTATAATATATTTTTTTATTCTCATAATATTACTCTAATATAATTTTCTATATAATCAAAATAAAAGTACCTGCTGCTATTATTATATATAATTATTTTCTATTTTTTTTCTCCCGTGAAAAACTAGTAAGTAATTCTTCTATAAATAATTATTATATTTTATATAATATAATATTTTTTATTTAAAATATATTTTTCTGCCATTATATACCAGCATATTATTATTTTTATTATTAAATAAATTTATTTTATAATTATTACTATTACTTTTTTTTTATTAATTTATTTTTATTATTTACAGTCTTTTTCTCTAATTTTTCTTCTGCAGTAAGTTAGCCTTTATATGAATATAATTAAATTTATAATTAATTATAATAATTATTTACTGCTGATATTATTATTAATATAATTTTTTTTATATTTTTTATAGCTCTATCTGTAGTTTCTGTATTTTTTATAGCTCTATCTATAGTTTCTGTATTTTTTATTATAATAAATTATTTTATTCTCATAAGTATCCACGTGCATATATAAATATTAATTTATAATAATTTATATTTTTTATAAATATATTTAATACTACTTAGTCTCCTGTAGTATTTATTACCAGTAATTATTATTAAAAAAAATTTATAATAAGCTGGTTATTTTAATTAATATATTAGTAGTCTTAATTATAAGAAATCTTTATATTTATAGATTACTCCTGTCTCCAGTAAATATTTTTAAATTAATTTAAAATTAATTAATCTTACAGAAGATAAGACTTACAGATTAATTTTTATATTAATTTATAAAATTATCTACAGTATCCTGGTTTACTAGAATATTTATAATATATTTAATTATTTTATCTAGTCTCTTCTTCTAGAGAGAATAAGAATCTTTTTTTAATTATAAATATTATTAAATAATAATATCTATTTTTTATTTTATATTCTTTATTAAATATATTTTATAAGAATAGCTGGAAAAGTATACTTAATTTTATAAAGCTATATTTATAATTAAAATTAAAATATAATCTTTATTTAATTAAGAATATAATATTCTGATTTTTATAGTATATATTAATAATAATTATAACTAGAAGTATAATAACTATTTTTATATTAATTATAAAAATATTAGTTCTACCAGTTAGAATATATATTTTATAAAATTAATATAGCCTGTTTCTAGTCTCACGGCTAATATTTTATTTATATATAATATTAAATTTATAAAAAATTAAATAGTTTTCTAGTTTTTACAATATAATTTTTAAATTTTTTTCTTTTTAATAATAAAAA